TGGTCTTTTTGAGACAGGGTCTCCCTGTAGCCCCAGCTGTTCTGGAACTCACTATGTAAACCAGACTGGCCTTGAACTCACAGAGCTCCGCCTGCCTCTACTTCCTGAGTGCTGGGATCAAAGGCATGTGCCACCACACCTGGCTCCCTTTTTCTTTTCTTAAAAAAAGCTATTTTATTTATTATTTTTATTTTATGTGTATGAATGTATCATCTGCATGAGTATAAGTGCAACCTTAGTCATGCAGTGCCCACAGAGGTCAGAAGAGGGCATCGGATCCCCTGGGACTGGAGTTCCAGATGGTTGTTAGCCACCATGTAGCTGCTGGGAATCGAACCCAGGTCATCTACAAGAGCAGTTAGTGCCCTTAACAACTGAGCCATCTCTCTAGCCCCTCCCTTTCTCTTTCTATCCAGTTTCCAGATGAAACCTTGAGGAGCGGGGAGCTGCTGAACATGATCGTGGCTGTCATCGACTCTGCACAGGTGGGACACTAAGCGCTGACATTTCCAACAAGTTCTGGAGGACAGGATTGGAGAAATCAGGGTCCCTTTGTTCTCTCCAAGGCTGTACACAAGAGCTCACACTCCTCAGGCACTCTGCCTCCTGCTACATTTGGGTGCCCTTCAGGCCGTTGGGTCTGGGAAGGAAGAGTGGAGCCCAGAGGACCTGGGTGGGGTCGTGCACCCTGGAGTTCCCTTGTTCTGCATGTTCTCTGACATTCCTGTTCTCACAGGGAAAGCTGAGGGGAATGTATGCTTTAGTTCTTTTTATTTATTATTTTTATTTTATGTGTATGTGTGTATTGCCTGCATTGTAGGTGAGTGCACCTGTGTCATGCAGTGCCCACGGAGGACAGAAGAAGCCATTGGATCCCCTGGAACTGTAGTTACAGACAGTTGTTAGCTGCCATGTGGGTCCTGGGATTCGAACCTGGGTCTTCTGCAAGAACAACCAGTGTTCTTAACCACTGAGCCATGTCTCCAGCCCCATTAGTTTAGTTCTTAACCAGCCTCCTTGGCTCACAATGAAAATAGATCATTTCTATTTGCCTTCCCACCTTACAGGGGACCCCAAGAGATTGTAGCTTTGCTTGAGTTCATCTCTGAATGGGGTACGTCTCATTTCTACTCGTGTCCACTTAGTTCTCACTCACAAGGGGACTTAGCACTAAGAGTCCTCCTTCCTTGGCCTTTCCCTGCCCATGCTAGGTCCAGATCCTAGTTTCCCAGGCTAGGGCAAGGTGGAGATGTTGCCTTTTCTCCCTCTGACAGGGTGTGGGGAGCTTCCAGAACTATTTTTTGTCTCAAATAATAGTAGTTCCTTGTGAACACGGAACAACTATATATTGACTATGCCCTCAGCCTTCCGAATTGTGTGTCATGCCTTGCCTTCCTGGTCTGCTGTCCCTCTCCATAGCTCCAGGAGCTGGTCTGCCACGTGATGATGGGGAACCTGGTCATGTTTCGGAAAGACTCAGTCCTCAACATACTCAGTAAGTGACCAGATCTTCTGGGTACCTAGCAGAGGAAAGGGGCATAAGCCCTGAGTGTTTTCCAGTAACAGAAAAGTGGTTCTGGGACTGGGAAATGAAGGGGTAGGGCACCTTGACACCCTGCTGTATGGTCTTGGGCTCAGTCTTCTTCCTTTGTAAAATGGAAAGGCTTATTACCCTTGGCTCTCCAACCTTCAACTTGGTAGGACTTTCCAGTAGAGAAAATAAATGCTTAAGGGAACAACTTTAACTATGTTTATTTTCCCTCTTTGATTTGCTTTCCCCACCCCACCCCTTGATTTCCTGTTAGCTCCATTGCTGTACACACACACACACACACACACACACACACACACACACACACACAGGTTTCTCCTGTCTCTTCCAGTCCAGAGCCTGGACTGGGAAACCTTTGAGCAGTATTGTGCCTGGCAGCTCTTCTTGGCCCACAACATCCCCTTGGAGACCATAATCCCCATCCTGCAGCACCTCAAATACAAGGGTGAGTAGGACTGTGAGCTATAGGCTGGGGGACCTCCAGCCTTCCAGGATAAGCCTGTGTAGTCACGGGTGATCTGTAGACATGAGCCCTGCAGGTCCATTCTGAACGGTTGGGTAAGTAAGGCAGCAGATTCTTCTTGGCTCTTGGTCAAAGACTGTCCTTGGTGTTCCAGTGATTGTTAGATGGGGGATGGGAGAGGTGCCCAGATTCCTTCCTGAAATGATCCATTCCCCTGAACAACCTCTCCCCTCCCCCACAGAGCACCCAGAGGCCTTGTCGTGCTTACTACTCCAGCTCCGAAGAGAGAAGTGAGTTCCATACCTGGGGTTTTCCCGGTCCCAATGTTCCGAGATACTAAGACACAAACTGCTTCTGTCTTGCTCCTTGGACCATGTTTTTCCCATTATTGACATCTGCCTATTCCTGCCCTTCCCCCAGCATGACTTACAAATAAGCTGCTCCCCTGGGAGGTGGCCTTCCTCTGACCTTCACCATTGCTACCACCACCAGGAGCTGTCCTCAGAGGTGGGAGGTGGGGACCGGACATCCCTGTTTCCTGCTGCCACAGCAGTTCTAATCCTGATGGCGTCTGCTCCCTTTCCTCCCCCACACTTCTCAGCCCACTAACAGCCTCATCACACAGAGGAAGGGTTAGGGTACAGGGATCATACAAACCTTCTCCATCACACTGATGGAAGCTGGATCCTTCCTGCAGCCTGCCAGTGGCAGAGTGCAGCAGGAGAGAACAGAAGGCCTCTTCCATCATAGATGCACCATGATGGGGACACCCCTAGATAAATGAGGCAACAGTTACTGTCTTTTCCTATTCTCTTTGTTTCGTTTGAGATAGTTTCACATAGCCCATGCTGGCCTCAACACTGCTGTGTAACTAAAGATGACTAAACTACTAATTCTTCTACCTCTGTCTTCTAAGTGCTGCCTTCCTTCTTGCCTGTCTTTTATCTTTTGTCTTGCCTGAGACACTAGAAATGGCTCAACGTCCTAGAGGAAGTGGGAAGTTAAGGAGGACCCTGTGGGGACTGTGTCTTCTAGCCCTGTCTCTTGCCCCTCCCCCAGGCTAGATAACAGGCTAACCCAAAGCTGCAGCAGGATAGGGCTGGAGGGCATTCACATAGCACACCCCTGTCCCCTGGCCTCCTGAGCCCCTTTCCTGACAGATCTGAGAGAAATCAGGGCGACCACAGAAATGGGAAGAATCTCACTTCTCATCTGGCTTCTGCCAAGAATGAAACCAGGCATTCCCTGGCCCAAAGAGAAGGGGGAGAGGGATGTGAGAGTAGGAAGCCACAGTGGGACTTAGGCAGGGTGGGGCAGGAGCCTGGGGTTTGGGAAATAAGTAAGTAGTACAGATGCAGCAGCTTCTGAGGCCCTCAGCTGTGTGTGCACAACACCCAGCATGCTCTCATTCACAGGCCTAGTGAGGAGATGGTAAAGATGGTGCTGAGCAGGCCCTGCCATCCCGACGACCAGTTCACCACCAGCATCCTGAGGCACTGGTGCATGAAGCATGACGAGCTGCTGGCAGAGCACATCAAGTCTCTGCTCATCAAGAACAACAGCCTCCCTCGCAAGAGGCAGAGGTAGGACACAGTCCTGTATGTTGGCAGTAGGGCATCACTAGTCCACCAGTCAGTCTGCAGTGACTGCTGCCCAGGGATGCTGGTGCTGTGCCACACTGGTTTGTGGGTGACATCTAGTGGTTTGAAAACATGAGACATATAGGACCACTGTCCTCTCTTGAGTCCCACAGCTGCACACCTCCCTTAGGCCTCCCTAGCCCCCTGTCCTTGTGGCTACCTCTGCCTTAAGGAGGAAACCTGGAGGGACAGCAGGCATCTTACACTCCCGGAGCTCTCAGACTGGTGCTTTCAACCTCCCTATGCAGCCTAAGAAGCTCTAGCAGCAAGCTGGCCCAGCTGACTCTGGAGCAGATCCTGGAACACTTGGACAACCTGCGACTGAACTTAACCAACACCAAGCAGAACTGTATGCTCCCTCTCTTGCTTCTCCCTTCCTCTCTGGCCTAGTGAGCGGGCTGCCCTGGTTCAAGCCCCCTGGAGCCAGGCAAAGGGAAGGGGTAGGACCACAGCCCAAACCCATAGGATGAAACAACTTCTGGTGGTATTTAGTAAGCTCCGGGACACATTAACTGTTCTTCCCTCCCCTCCCTTCTCTCTAGTTTTTAGCCAGACACCAATCCTCCAGGCGCTGCAGCATGTCCAAGCGAGTTGTGACGAAGCCCACAAGATGAAGTGAGGCTCCGCCTACTTTGGGGCTTGGGAAGTAATGGGGGAAGGCCAGGGAAGAAGAGGCCTGCTGGGGATGTAAACTTATGGCCAAGAAGACCCTGGAGTTGAAGAGAAATAGACTAGGCTTGAGTGCAGAGAACAGAACAGGAGCTGGGCACAGGGCCAGGATGCCTTGCTCAGGGAGCTTGATCTCCTTCCTCTTAGGTTCAGTGACCTCTTCTCCCTGGCGGAGGAATATGAGGACTCTTCCACTAAGCCACCCAAGAGCCGACGAAAGGCTGCACTGTCCAGCCCTCGAAGTCGAAAGAATGCCACCCAGCCACCCAATGCTGAAGAGGAGTCGGGCTCCAGCAGTGCTTCGGTGAGACCCGCACCCAGTGCACAGGAGGGAAGGTGTTGTGGGTACAGAGGAATGGGACCAGCCACTGCCCAGGCTAGTAATTGTCTTCTGCCCTCCTCATCTCTTCCAGGAGGAAGAAGACACAAAACCTAAGCCCACCAAACGGAAAAGAAAAGGTTCTTCGGCTGTGGGTTCTGACAGTGACTGAGGCCTGGTGTCCCCACCCTGCCCATGCTGGGGAGATAGGGGTTTAGCCTTCCTAGCCCCCCTCACTCGGGGTAGGATGAGCTGCTTCCTGTGACCCAGCCTGAGAAGTTTCCATGCAGCCCCCCTTCCATGCCAGGGCCTCCGGCCTTCCTCCTTCCCCCTCCACTGCTGTGCCCACTGGTAATTGGGTTCTCACAGCATCCAGAGGCTGTGCAAAGCCAGATCATGATGGAAATCCTCAGCCCCCTTGTCCCTCCCCCAGTCTCCAAAGAGCCATTTGGACAGAGAAGGGAATGATCATGGAGCTGCTGGGCCGAGAAGCTGGGATGACCGTAGATGCTCCAGTGCTCAGTGAGTGAGCATCCCTTCCCGTTTCCCCCTCAGTCTGAATTTGTTCTGAACAGACATTCGTAGTCTGTGGACAGCGATCTACACACCAGTGTGAAACGGGCATCTAATCTGGTGTGGTCGGTACCCATCTGGCCAGATGCCACAGCCTTCAGAAAGGTACCTGATGGCAGCCTGAGCCCCTCGTGCTGTATCTGGGATGTTTGGATTGGGCTGAGGTTGGCGCTTCAAGCTTACCACAACCCAGGGGAGTCCCAGAGGCAAGTTCCTCAGAACTGTCAAATGGCCCAATTTCTGTGATTCTGTTTTTGCTTTTTCTTTTGGCAGAGATAATCGCGTTTTAAATTTGTTTTTAAGTGATAATGAAACAAACCAGAACATCTTTTGTGCCTGAGTTGCCATCATGTTTATCCTGTGTATATACAGGTCTTCAGTTTCATTCGATGCCTCTACTTGTGTCATCCCTATCCCCCCTCCCTGAAATGTCTACAGCACAGGGACTTGGCTTTGCCCTCCCCATCCTTTCTACCACTGGAGGTGTGAGCTAGGCACTGAGCCGTCCGTCTCCTTGCAGGCTGTCCTAGTTCATTGCTTTTCACGAACTTCGTCTTCCAGGCTGGGGAGATAACTCAGTAGATAAAGCACTTGCCACACAAACATGAGGACCGTTTGGATCTTCAGTGCCCATGAAAATTCCCACCCCTGATGTAGAGCTCAGAAGGCAGGGACAGGATCCCTGTGGCAAGGTGGCTACCTAGACTAGTCATATTGGTGAGCTCTGGGTTCTGTTGAGAGACCCTAGCTCAATGAGTAAGGTGAAGAACAATCTAGGAAGACTCCTGACATCAACCTTCCTTCGGTGCACACACACATATGAATGTGCATATACATGCACCAAAAAAAACCATCTTCCAAAAGCTAGTATTTGTCCTACTGCAGTTTATCAAGTGCCTGCTTTCCAAGGGCTTGGGAGAGAAGGGATGCTCTGCATTAGGTTTTGAAGGACAGGAGAAAGAAAAAGTTCAAGTCTCTTCACTCTGGCCACTAGCTGTCCCCGTCTGTACAGGGAAATTTGGTGTCTTGCAGAAAAGAGGCGAAGGCTGGGTTCAGGGCAGACAGGTACTCCTAATTCAGACTTCCCATTTGCCTCTTCACAGAATCCAGGCTCCTTTAAGTTACTACTCTTTTTTTGTTTTTTGTCTTTTTGAGACAGGGTCTCCCTGTAGTCCCAGCTATCCTGGAACTCACTATGTAGACCAGGCTGGCCTCGAACTCACAGAGATCCGCCTGCCTCTGCCTCCCAAGTGCTGGGATTAAAGGCCTGCGCCACGACGCCCAGCTAAATTACTACTCTTAAAAGGTTAAACCACGAGAGGCCCCTTTCTGCCTCTCTCCTTCCCCAGTTTCCACTGCACTGATTAAAACCAGGACAAACCATTTGCTGGCTGGCCCCAATTATTGTACCCTTGTTTGAAGGAGGTTCCCCGCTCCCAAAATCTGGCAGTCTGGGCTTCCACCTTTCCCCTACTTCACTCTCAGGCCCTGCCCATTCCCTACGGAGGCTGCTGGCTGCTGGCAGCTGGAGGCAGCACATGGGTCAGGCTATCCTGCCGAGACTTGCAGAACCAAACAGGCCAGGGGCCAAGTTATTCAGCCTCCTTTGGAAGAGAGTATTAGTACCCTCCCATCACGGGTGAAAACGAAACACTGAAGGAAAGAAGGACGGATGCGATGCAAACGCCCTAGCTCAAGGCTCCATAAAACGAAAATGAGCGACTCAGGGATTGAGGGAAGGGGCCTCTTAGGACCTGACCAGACGATGGCCACCCCCCTCCAAGTTCGGGAAGGAGCTCGCCAAGGCGGAGCGTAGGCTGGGGGAAAGGGCCGCTCCCCATATGCGGGTGGGGCGGGAGAGGCTGGGTGGGAAGGGGCGTGTGCCGGCGCACGCGCGCTCGGAAAGGAGAGGTCTGGAGTGGGACCGGCGGGCTCTGTTTGAGGAGCGACCTGGGGCAAGCAGCTGAGGCCGGCCGGAAGAAGAGGGCACCATGGTGGGTCTCCTCCTGCTGCTGCCCCTGCTGCTGCTGCTGCCGCTGCTGCTAAAACTGGACCTCTGGCCTCAGCTGCGCTGGCTGCCGGCGGACCTGGCCTTCGCAGTGCGCGCCCTACGCTGCAAAAGGGCTCTGCGAGCGCGCGCGCGGGCCGCCGCCTCCGCCGACCCTCAGAGCCCCGACAGCGGCTGCAGCCTGGCCTGGCGCCTAGCGCAGCTGGCTCGGCAGCGATCGGCGCACACCTTTCTCATTCACGGTGCGCGGCGCTTTAGCTACGCCGAGGCGGAGCGCGCCAGTAACCGGGCTGCCCGCGCCTTCCTGCGCGCCCGGGACTGGACCGGGGGCGGCGAAGAGGGGGCGCCGGGACCCAGAGACGCCGCGGCCGGAAGCGGCCAGATGCTGGCCGAGCGTCGAGAGGATGCGGCGGCCAGCGGTGGACCCGCCGCGCCCACACTGGCACCCGGGGCGACGGTAGCGCTGCTCCTCCCCGCCAGCCCGGAATTCCTGTGGCTTTGGTTCGGACTGGCCAAGGCCGGTCTGTGCACCGCCTTTGTGCCCACCGCGCTCCGCCGGGAGCCCCTGCTGCACTGCCTCCGCAGCTGCGGCGCGCGCGCTCTCGTGCTGGCGCCAGGTAAGGCTGCAGCGCCGCTCGAACTTTGGCGGCCGGCCCAAGGGGGGGCGTGTCCGCGCCGGGGTCCCTGGACCTCCAGCTGCGGAGCTGTCTCCCCCAGGTGCAAAGTGATTGGGAACAGGAGGCCTGGGGGTGCTAGGATCCCAGCCGTCGGACTCCAGGTCCCAGGCCCCTCACCCTAGAACATCAGGCACAGAGTGGAGCACAGAGAACAGGCTAAGGGAAGAGGAAGGCCTTGGGGTAGCGGCAGAGCCCGGAGCTGTGCTTGCCCACCCTTTTAGAGCTCCTGGAGTCCCTGGAGCCCGACCTGCCGGCCCTGAGAGCCATGGGGCTCCACCTGTGGACGGCAGGCCCTGTAACCCACCTTGCTGGAACCAGCGATTTGCTAGCCGAGGTAGCAGCCCAAGTGGATGAGCCAGTGCCGGGATACCTGTCTGCCCCCCAGAACATAATGGACACCTGCCTGTACATCTTCACCTCTGGCACTACGGGTGAGGGCTAGACCCCATGCTTCCTTCCCAGAACTAAGAGGAAGTTGCGGCCCAGGAACAGGACTGGGGCCCCTTCAACTCCCAGGCTACCCATCAAATGTTTCTGAGAGGACCCCATCCCAGGCACAGCCCCTCACTCCAGTCCTTCTACCCCCTCTTCATTCTCCACCTGCCCCACACAACCCACATTTCCACGACAGCCTCCTCAGCTTCTGTCCTGTCTGCCTCTCACCTTGGGAAACCTAGTAGGGAACAGATAGACCTGCCCCTTACCTTATAAAGGTCCCCCTCTTATTACCCTTCAGGCCTCCCCAAGGCTGCTCGGATCAGTCATCTGAAGGTCTTGCAGTGCCAGGGGTTCTACCAGCTGTGTGGGGTCCACCAGGAGGATGTGATCTACCTAACACTGCCGCTGTACCACATGTCTGGCTCCCTACTAGGCATCGTGGGCTGCTTGGGCATTGGTCAGTCTCCCTCACAGTATTCCTCCTGCAAGTGCATAAGTACCTCCCGAGGCATGCATGCCCTGCTGAGTCCTTCTTGGTAGAAGGGAGGCAGGGCCTACTCTAGAAATTCCTGGTACAGTAGGAAATACCACCCACTCGAGCCCCCAGGCCAGGCAAGTAGGGAGGCTGCAAGAGAAGGGTGTGTCAGTCCAGAAAAAGGCAAATAGTACCTAGGCTCACGCCTTTAATCCCAGCACTTAGGAGGCAGAGGCAGGCGGATCTTTGTGAGTTCATGGGAATTGACCCTGGGTCCTCTGTAAGAGCGATCAATGCTCTTACCGCTGAGCCAGGGAAATCCGACGCCCTCTTCTGACCTCCGTGGCATTACATGACATGGGTACACTCACATACATGCAGGCAATACACTCATACACGAGGCAGGCGTATCTCTGTGAGTTCAAGGCCAGCCTGGTCTACATAGTGAGTTCCAAGACAACTGGGGCTACAGGGAGACACTGTCTCAAAAAGACCAAAAAAAAAAAAAAAAAAAGGCAAATAGTTCCAGAAAGCAGTGGGAATTGGGGGCCAGGGGATGGGGACAGAAAGCAATGATAGGGTGTAAGTCTCATCACACACAGGTGGGAGAGGAAGGATGCCGGCACTGCAGCCTCCTAAAGATGTGACTCCCAGCAGGCCCTTCTCAGGGAGCAGTGCTACAGAGTCCTCTTTCAACTTCCCTCCCTCCCTCCCGTCTCCGGCAGGAGCCACAGTCGTACTAAAGTCCAAGTTCTCAGCCAGCCAGTTCTGGGAGGACTGCCAGAAGCACAGGGTGACAGTGTTCCAGTACATTGGGGAGTTGTGCCGATACCTTGTCAACCAGCCCCCGGTGAGTAGGCAGACCCGCTGACACAGGCTAGGTTACAGGGAGCAGGCTAGATACTAGGAGACGCTGGCACAATCATCTGGAAGTTGGAGAGGGATGCCAGGAGCCTGGAATAAAGCCTAGGAAAGCAGGGAGGGCAGAGAAGAGGTTCCAAGGAATGAGGAAAAGGACTTCACTTTGGTGAGCTGGCACCTTGGTGCTGAAGCCACCACCTCTCTCTCACTTGTCTCAGAACAAGGCAGAACATGACCATAAGGTCCGGCTGGCTGTGGGCAGTGGGCTGCGCTCAGACACCTGGGAGCGTTTTGTGCGGCGCTTTGGGCCTCTGCAGGTTCTAGAGACGTACGGATTGACAGAAGGCAACGTGGCCACTTTCAACTACACGGGACAGCAGGGCGCTGTGGGGCGAGCTTCCTGGCTTTATAAGGTAAGGGCGGAAAGGACACTAAGAACCCCTAGAGCAGTGAGGGGCTGGTGCAAAGTGGGGCTCCTAAAGCCAAAATGACGAAATGTGGGTCTCCCTTTCCCCAGCACATCTTCCCTTTCTCCTTGATTCGCTATGATGTCATGACAGGAGAGCCCATTCGCAATGCCCAAGGGTGTTGTGTAGCCACGTCTCCAGGTTTGTGCTTGGGTGGGGTGAAGCTGCCAAAAAAGGTTGGAATTGACAGTTGGGTTGGCACCCGGGAAGCTCAGGGTGAGGGGGTAACAGCTCCTCACCCCAATGACTCTGCAGGTGAGCCAGGGCTGCTGGTGGCCCCGGTGAGCCAGCAGTCCCCATTCCTGGGCTATGCTGGGGCCCCAGAGCTAGCCCAGGGGAAGCTGCTGAAGGATGTCTTCTGGCCTGGAGACATTTTCTTCAACACTGGGGACCTCTTGGTTTGTGATGAGCAGGGCTTTCTTCGCTTCCACGATCGTACTGGTGACACCTTCAGGTATCTCACCTATCTCGGTGACCCAGACCTCAGAAATCCAATTCTCTGTTCTCCCACCTTCCCCCGAGTCCTCATCCCATCTGTCTTCCTCAGACGTGATGACCCGTATTAACCCATGGCCTCTTTCTTCATCAAGCTCCCAAGCCCCGAAGCCCTGACTCCCCATTTCATATCTCTACTCTCCACTCTCTGGCAGGTGGAAGGGGGAGAACGTGGCCACAACGGAGGTGGCAGAGGTCTTTGAGGCCCTGGACTTCCTTCAGGAGGTGAACATCTATGGAGTCACTGTGCCAGGTGCCTAGGCGTCCAGCCCACCACCCCACATTGTAATGCTTGGGCACAAGGAACAGTTGGGCTCATGTGCCTCCCACACCCACTAGGGCAAGAAGGCAGGGCTGGAATGGCGGCCCTAGTTCTGCGGCCCCTACAGGCTTTGGATCTAGCTCAGCTCTATGTTCATGTTTCGGAGAACTTGCCGCCTTATGCCCAGCCTCGATTCCTCCGACTCAAGGTAACAGCCACTCCTGTTCCAACCCTTCACCCCACATATCTGCAACTGTTGGTGGTTCTTTTTTTTATTATTTTTTAATTTGTTATTTTTATTTTATGTGTATGAATGTTATGCCTACATGTAAGTGCACCCATGTCGTGCAATGCCCGCGGAGGACAGAAGAGGCTGTCGAATCCCCCAGAACTGGAGTGAAGGACAGTTGTTAGCTGCCATGTGGGTGTTGGGATTTGAACCTGGGTCTTCTGCAAGAACAACTGGTGTTCTTAACTGCCGGGCCATCTCTCTAGCCCTGTTGGTGGTTCTTAAACTCCACCAAGGAACCCCACGCAATACACTCCATGAGGAGAAAAGGGCACCTCCCTCCCAGCCATAGGTGTCTCATCCCCTTTTTTAATCATGTGTGTGTACATGTGTAAGTGTTCCTGTTTATGCATGTGCATGGTCATGTGTGTGCATGTCTATGTGGAAGCCAGAGGATAACCTCAGGTGTCATCCTCAGGAACACTGTCTTTTGAGATGGGGTCTCTCATTAGCTCACCATTTAGGCCAAACTGGCTGGCCAGTGAGCCCCAGGGATCCTCCTGTCTCCACTTCTGCCTGCCATTTTTACCTGGGTTCTGGTGATGGAACTCAGGTCCTTATGTTTGTACGACAAGCATGTTACCAACTGAGCCATCTCCCCACCCCACAAGCTTCCTCTTATCCCTCCCTTCTTCAGACCGGGCTCTTTCCACTGTGACTTCCTCCCCTTAACTTTCTCTAATGTCCCCTTTCCCCCAGATCTGCCCCCAAACAAAGTGGAGGCAACACTGTGGAGCTGACTGGGCAGAGTACTTCTCCTCCTCTTGACAGCTCTTTCTCTCCCCAGGAATCTTTGGCCACTACAGAGACCTTCAAACAGCAGAAGGTTCGGATGGCAAATGAGGGCTTTGACCCCAGTGTGCTCTCCGACCCCCTCTATGTTCTGGACCAGGATGTGGGTGCCTACCTGCCCCTCACACCTGCTCGGTACAGTGCCCTCCTGACTGGGGATCTTCGAATCTGAGGTCTTCTACCTGAAGGAGGGACTTTTAGGGTACAGGCCACTGTGGCTGTACCGGGGGCTTTCAGATATCTTTTATATATCAAGTTGTTACCATTATTTTGTAGTAAACAGCTGAGGCTGATCTAGCTCATCATGGTCTGAGTATGTTTGTGGAACTGCTTTTCCCTTGGAGCCACAGGCCCCACATTCCTGCCCTGACTATATGTGGGTCTGAGCCACATCTGCACCTTTTCCTTTTCTGGTGAGCACATCTGACAATGCAGTTTGTACTCTTGTGTATGGGCACCCACCACTCTGTCTGGGGATCCGGGGGACCCTGAGACATTGGTTCAAATGGCAAAAGTGGATAGAGACACCCAGAAACACTACTCCCCCACACACCCATGAGGCTCACCCATACTTCTCCACAATTGTAGGTGTGGCTGGGCCTTGGGAAGTCTCAACAAGGTAAAACAAATGTTAGGCAGGGATGGGAACTAGATAGTCTAGAGTTCCCTCCCCGTCAGAGCTCTCTCTGAGAAGCTAGTCAGAAGGGAAGGGAGACCTTCAGCCTCAGGACTCCAATGTCTCTGTTCCCAGCCAGTCCCAGTCAGACTCTTAGAGGCGGAGAGTTTGACTTCCACAGCCCTGGAGAATAGGGCTCTGAGTACCTGAATGTGAGCAGTAACAGTGATGTTTGATGTTCGAAAACAAAAGAAAAGGGGGATCGTTGCTGGTGCCTGGAAGTATTCAGAAACTTCATCTGAAAGAGTTAAAAGGATGGAACTCCTGGGGCTGGAGAGATCAGTTAAAATAATAATAAATTTTAAAAAGAGGATGGAATTCCTGTCTGGGGAACTCACTGCCCTCTGCCTGGACTGTGGTTGCTTATGTTTGCTGCTTCCCCCTGGGTTGTCTTTCTCCCTCTAATCCTCCTCCCCAGCATGAGAGGTCAGAAACACCCCTGGGACTGGAGAGATGGCTCAGCAGTTAAGAGCACTGACTTCTACTTACAGAGGACCTGGGTTCAATTCCCAGCACCTATATCAGCCAGCTCATATCTGCCTGTAACGCCAATTTCAGAGAACCCAACACCCTCTTCTGGCCTTTGTGGGTACCAGGCATGCACAGTGCATATTCATGCACTCAACACATACACAAAAACTAAAATAAGAAGGGTTATCTAGTATATTATTAAAAAGGAACACTCCTTACCTCCAAGCTTGAATCCCCAATCCCAGCCCCTTTGTTCCAAAACCTCAGCCTGCCCTATGTCCACCAGAAATCCTCAGCCTCCCTGACAGTTGAGTCCACATTAAGATGGAGGTGATGCCCCAGACTGACCCACTCTTTAGGAATTCAGCTTACTCTATTTACCTTTCCAATCTTCCCTGGAAGACTACAGTGGTAAGGTAGGTCTGGGCAGAGTGAGTAAGCAGATGTGCCAGCTGGCTCACAGCAGCTCCTCTCTGGTTCCTCTCCTACCGTCTCTGCCCAGGTCTTTCAGGCTGAGTGACACCTCCTCCCTTGTGGAATCACACATTTGGCCCAAATTTGCAGTCTTAACAGGGTAGCTGCTAGCCATATGTAGCTACTGAGTGCTCCAAGTGTGGCTTGTCAAAAGTGGGATCTGCTGTAAATATACAAAAATATACTTCACATATAAAAGACTTTGTAGAAAAAAAATCATTAGCAGTTTTATAGCCAGGTACAGCGGTGTACATGTCTATTCACAGCCCCTTAAGAGGATTACTTGAGCCTAGCAGTTTGAGCCCAACCTGGGAAACAGCAATAACCCATCTCAAAAACTATAGGGGATACCAAGCCTGGTAGCACAAGCCTTTAATCCCAGCACTCAGGAGGGAAAGGCAGGCAGACCTCTGTGTCTGTGAGATCGAGGCCAGCCTAGTCTGCATAGCAGTTCCAGGCCAGCCAGCCAGAGCAACAAGGGGACCCTGGTGCATACCTTTAATCCCAGCACTTGGGAGGCAGAGGTAGGCGGATCTCTGTGAGTTCAAGGCCAGCCTGGTCTACATAGTAAGTTCCAGGAGAGCTGGGGCTACAGGGAGACCCTGTCTCAAAAAGACCAAAAAAAAAAAAAAAAAAAAAAAAAAAAAAACAAACGGCTGGAGAGATGTCTCAGTGGTTAAGAGCACTGGCAGCTCTTATAAAAGACATGGGTTTGAATCCCAGGACCCAACATGGCAGCTAACAAAGTCCATAACTCAGTTCCAGGGGCTCCAACGCCCTCTTCTCTCCCCCACAGGCACTGCACAACACAAGTGCACTTACATACATGCAGGTAATACACTCAGACACATAAAATAAAAATAAATAAAAAGAGAACTGGGGAGGGGCCCAGTTAGTAGAGTGCTTGCCCACTGCTTATAGGAAGCCCAGGGAGGGTCTGATGCTGAGCACTACATAAAACCATAATCTCAGCTATAGAATGAGTTCAAATCCAGCTCGGATATGTAAGTTTTCTTCAAAAAACAACAACAACAAAAAAACCAGAGGAATTGAAGCCGGCTCCGAGGTTGCGTGCTCACTGCTCTTGTACAGCTTTGGTTCCCAGTACCTTCCCAGTACCCATATCAGGTGGTTCACAAACCATCTTTAACTCCTAAGGAGTCTGACACCCTCTGGCCTCTGAGGGCACCTGCATGCACACGGTGCACATAAACTCACACAGGTCCATAAATTAAAAATAAATCTTAAAAAAATAGATTTTTTTAAAAAGTTTTATATTGCTTACACATTGAGATACAATCTTGACTATATGGAGTTAAGACATTGACAATGCTAACATTGCCTGTTAAAGCATAGCTACTAGAACATTCAGATCTCTGTGTCTGTCTCTCTCTCTCTCTCTCTCTCTCTCTCTCTCTCACACACACACACACACACACACACACACACACACTCCATTTACTCAGCCTGTCTCCTATTTTCTCACTGGCTCACATTTCTGCTGAACAGTGCTGGCCTAGATGCTGACCTCACACCTCACTGTAAACACAAACACCAAGTAAAACATGTTGGCCCTTCATAACAGGCAGTCTAGGAGGAGGAGAGGACAGTTTCAGAGCTGAGAGTAGCCTTTGGCAGTCTGTCTCCCCAGTCCCGGGACTAGCTATTGCTCAGCTCTATCCAGAGGTTACAACTAGTGGTAAAAATGGAAAGCTTGCGAGCAGTATGGCATGGGGTGGGGGTCTTGTCATATAGGCTTACCCTGTAGCCCAGTTGGCCTGGAACTCATGTAATCCACACTGGCCTCGAACTCCTGGCAATCCTCCTGCCTCAGCCTCCTGAGTGTTGAGATTACAGACTTGAGCCACTACGCTGGGCTTTTTGGGATGACTAATTTAAAAGACTTTCTATTTACCATGATTAAAACTAAGTCTTAGGGGGGCTGAAAAGATGGCTCAACAGTTAAGAGTACTGGTTGCAGCTGGATGTGGTGGTGCACACCTTTAGTCCCAGCACTCAGGAAGCAGAGGCAGGCAGATCTCTGTGAGATCAAGGCCACATAGCAAGTGGGAGAGCAGCTGGGAGCTCCAAGGAGACCCTGTCTCAAAAAGAAAAAAAAAGCTTCAAGTCCCCAGCACCCACATTGAAGCTAACAACCATCTATAACTCCATTTCCGGGGATTCTAACTCTTCTGGCCTCCACAGGCACTGTACAACACGAGTGCACTTACATACATGCAGGCAATACACTTACACACAAAAGAAGGGCTAGAGAAATGGTTCGGCAGTTAAGAGCACTAACTGCTCTTGCAAAGGACCCAGACTCCGTTTCTAGCACCCACATGGCAACTAACAACTATCCTTAACTCCAGTTCCAGGGGATCTGACATCCTCTTCTGGCCTCTATGGGTTGGTATGGGTGCACTTACATTCAAGCAGGCAAAACACTCATACCCATAAAATAAAAATAAATAGAATTTTTTAAAAAAGGAAAAAGGAGCACTCAGGAAGCAGAGGCAGGTGGATCTCTGTGAGTTCAAGGCCAGTCTGGTCTACATAGTGAGTTCCAGGACAGCTGAAGCTACAGGGAGACCCTGTCTCAAAAAGACCAAAAAAAGAGGAAAAAGAAAAAGAAAGTCCGTCCTTGCCTAGCATGTGTGAGGCCCTAGCAGGTGATGGGGTACATAGGAGGAGGGAGTGTTTCCTCTAAAACATCACTGAAAAAGCTGAGAAGCAAGAGATAATCAGATAGCTCTGAGAACTTGTGGCCAACTGGAGCTACAGCTAGACCACCCTGCCTCAACAACACAAACAAACAAAAAGTAGAGAGCAACAGAGGAAGACGCCCCAAGTTGACCTCTGGCCTCCACACACACTACGCACGCACATGAACACACATTAGAGGAAGGGTTGATTCCAGGTCTGGGAGCTCTGTGCCAGCAAAATTAGCAAAGTAGGGCAGCAGCAAAGAACACAGGCTGCCTCTTATCTAATCCTTAAAAGATTTTAGGGTTACCTCTTTAGACGGGGAATGTTAGAGTAGCCAAAAGCCCCATAAAAATAAATAAATCAAAGAAGAAAGAGTACATGAAGTTATCAGAAGAAAGTGATGGGGCGATATGGGAGGAGTGGGCATGGATTTAATCAAAACACCTTATATGCTTACATGCCTGTATGAATATATATATATATATATATAAAACACAGACTCCCACTGGCCTAGGATAAGACAGCTTGACCATCAAGATTAATGAATGCACTGGAAACATTGGATGTTTGCAAAAGTATCTTCTTGAGGGTGATAGCAAAGGGAAAGAGAAACCAGCTTCCAACTGAATAGCTGCAGCTCCGGCAGGGACGAGGCTCTGTCCGTCTGTGTGGGCTCCTCGAACAGACCGTCCTAGTTGATAAGGGACCATTCTTTCCTGTCTTCTTTTTTCCATTTCTTTTTGTGTGTGCGTGTGTTCATGTGCGTGCGTAGTGTGTGTGGAGGCCAGAGGTCAACATGGGGCGTCTTCCTCCGTTGCTCTCTACTTTTTATTTGTTTTGTTGAGGCACGATGGATCTCCCTGTAGCTCCAGCTGGCCTAGAACTTGCTATGTAGACCCTGACTGGCCTCAGTTTCACAGAGATCAAATCTGCTTGCTTCTGGCTCTGAGCAGAACCTAATATGGTGGGACT